AGAGGGAGCTCGTGCTGCTGGCTCCCAGCCAGAATCAGGCTGGATTCACGGCCAGACTGCAGCGGCTCCTCAGCTCATGGAGAATGCAGTAAACATCCTTTTTAGGAGGCTTCGCTCCCGTACCAGAGAGGCTGCATCCAACCGGGGAGCCTCTTCTAGCAGCTCACCATCAGGTCAAGTTGATGCCACGGGCTTTAAATGCAAGTTGTTATGCATCGCGGTGTTTTTGCAAAGTTAGGGGATGATAAAGTCAGCTGCAGATGCATAACAGCAGTGAAATATTCAAGTAGTGAATTGATCATTTCTCAGCTTTGCATCACTGTAAACTGCATATTTTCAGATTTTAATCGACAAAAGCTATTTAAAGATATCACACTGGGCTGTGAGTCGACACTTTTAACTGAAAAATAAATCCAGGATTAATAGATCGTTAAAATTAGTGGCAGCCCTGCATTAGTTTAGCGATGGATCGACGGATCAGTTGGCAGAAATATGATTAGATGATACCAGAAGCTGTAACGTGAATGAAACGAGCCGCTGATTTGAACTCTGCAGACGCGTCCCGGCTGTCTGGCTGCAGTGGGGGTAGACCTTCCTCCTTCTCGCCCTGACTCCACATATAGTGCCTCGCTCCTAGGATTACATAACGACTCCCTAAGCAGATGGGTGAGGTCAGATCACAGGGTGTTTGTGACAACTCGGAGCAGAGCGCTGCTTTAAGAAGCGACGTGGCAGGACCCTGTGAATTCCATTGTTTTCCCCGCATAGAGCCGGGAACCACAGAAGGCTTACATTATGCTCATGTCAGCTATTGATTCTGCAGGCTGGGGGAACAACAGAAGACATATTCTCTCCTCGCTGTCCTCCCCCCCCTCCCTGCTCCTCCTCATCAGTATGCTCCAAGGAGCTGTGTGGCTCCCATCACGCCATCTTTGCCGTCTTGCGATCAGAAAAAACACGATTCTTTTCCGTGTGGTCCAGTCGTGTTACTTCACACGCTAACTTCAGCTGTTTTTTTTGTTTTTTTAAACGTCCGCCTCTTCCCACTTGACCTGTGTGAGATAAACACGGTGGAGCTGAGACTCCTCACACATCCTCTTATTCAACGTCGCTCAAAATAATGCAGCGACTGGGAAGTTGAACCCGCAGCGCTCTTTGGAAAACATCATTAATAAGAGATTTTAAGAGTCGCTGCTGCTGAATTATCTGTAACCTCAAAGAGCACTCGGAAAGAGTATCGCTCCCCGTCTTTCTCGTTCATCGATCTTTTTCTTTTTTTTTATTTTCACCCCTACTGATTTAGACTAACTGCTTAAGTGCATTAACTCGAGTATTTGTATTTTCATTATATGGGGCTACATAGTCCACTAATCCACTGCAGCTGAAATATTGCAATTTTAACTCCCTTATTTATTTGAAAACCTGTTCGTTAGATGCAAGTTTAAATAATATGAAATAGAAATACAATTAACAAATACATTATGATGTTTTATTGTACCTTTTATCAAGTGCAAGATTAAAGTGATGCATACGTTGCTGAACTACCAATTAGAATCCAACATTGCAATATTCTGAAACAGACCATTCTGCATAATGAGTGCTTTAATTTATATGTGGAAGCACAACTTTTGCTTGTAACAGAGGATTTCTACACCGTGGTATTGCTACTTTTACTTAAGTTAAACCATCTGAGTACTTCTTCTTCCACTTCTGTCCTTAAGGTTTGGTGTTATTATAGAGCAGATGGTTCATTGAGATGGTTTCAGCGTCGTCATGTGAAAGGAGGATGTTTCTCCAGTAGTTTCTTGTCGGGATACAAATTTTGAACAGATTTCTGAGCTGATAACTCCCAGCGTTATCAAATTTGTAGTCGATTATCGATAACACAAAATGGATTCAATGGACACCATGCCATGTCCTGGTGTTTCTGTTTTTATTGTTGTTATTTTTGGACCACAGTGACGCAGCAAACTTCAGCTCGACCACAAAACAAGAACTCTGGTCAGTGGATATTAGTCGTAACATGAGACTCTCTCATGGTGGCCCTTAGTGCCAACACAGACCTGCTAGTAGTCCAAGTGACCGCCTCGTCATTACAGTGCCAAACAGTAAGAGGCTCCACCTGGTGGCAAAACCTCCTACAGCTAATCTACGGGTTGTCTTCTGCCTCATCGGTCAACGTATTTTAAATCAGTTGAATTTTTAAGGTCATTTAAATCGATTAACTAGCGCCGGTACAAGCGGCTTCCTCCACAGGGTAGCTGGGCTCATCCTTAGAGATAGGGTGAGGAGCTCGGATATCCGGAGGGAGCTCGGAGTAGAGCTCCTGCCCCTGCATGTCAAAAGCAGCCAGTTGAGGTGGTATGGACATGTGATTCGGATGCCTCCAGAGAGGCTTCCTCTGGAGGTCTTCTGAACACGTCCACCTGGGAGGAGACCCCTGGGCAGACCCAGGACCCACTGGAGGGATTATATCTCTCTGGAAACGTCTCAGGATCCCTCAGGCAGAGCCGGAAAGCCTCACCGGTGGGGGGGAAGTCTGGAATGACCTGCTCCACCTACTGCCCCCATGACCTGACCCCGGATAAGCAGAAGAAAATGGATGGAAATCAATGAACTATTACCATCTGTAGTTTGTTGAAATACAGAGAACAGTCACCAGGTCTCCACCTTCTTGAGAAGATTTTGTTTCTGAATTGTCCCTTGGGGATGAATAGAGTTATTTGAGTTGAATAAAGTTATTTGAATTATGTAATGCACCATCTCCACCATCAACACTTCCAATGAGGAAATATGTTTCAGGGTGTTCATTTAGCCAGTAGTGTTACAGAAACTTTTAGAATCTAAGTATGGGAGCTGTCGTGGAGATTCATAGTTGCTCAACTCCTTTTCATGTTTAATTTTTCTCACAGAAACAGAAAAGAATTACGACACAAACAAACTTACAAACCCACAGTGGCAGGAAAGAAAAGCCATAAAAAACAATAACTACAAAAAGTCCGACAGCCCAGAAGAGAAATCAGTGTTTCGGGTAAAAAAAATACAAGAAGAAACAGCTCAAGTGGACGCAACAGAGACTTCAACTTACAATCAGGGAGAAAAGAGTTCTCTTCAGATCCTCTCAACCCCTTTTTATCTGCACCATTTGGGTGCTGGTGGCCTTTCATTCCCTAAGAATGATCCTCAGTTACATCCATCACACGCATGAGGATACAGCTGCCCTTAATGAGAAGCTTTATTTTGGTTGTTTACTGACATTTGCATTCGATTTGTATATAAACTACCTAACATCCAGGTGCACTGAGCTGCCCTGTGAAATTATCTTAATGGAAGCATGCCTGCACTTTAAATAAGCAAATCTGGCTGTTGGGGCTGTGAGGGAACCTGATAAATCAGGAACCGTCATTGTAGCACATAAAATATAAAATCTTCAAACAAGATCAAAAATATTTATATTTAATACAATCTAGTTAGTGTAAAATACACCTATAAATAGACATGCCGCTTGTATATTGTTAAATTTAACCCAAATAAAGACAAAGATGCTACTCAAGACGAGATGTTTAGTTGAGTTAAACCAAATGATCCGTATTAAAAACCAGCTAGATTTACTTGGCAAGATCTGCAGTAGGAAACCCTGATTACATGTAAATAAAACCTCAGTAATGAATTCATTTTCAGTCTAAAATACTAATCTTGCCATATTAATTTCATAATTAAACATCATGGGATCATATCGCAGTTTCGTGAAAGTTGATGAACCTCAATTGACACAGATTAAGGTGGCGTGTTTGATTCTGGGAATCTGTAAAATACATCTTTATGAACCAAAAGATGAGTTTAAACGACACATTTGCTCACACGTAGCAGAGCTCTGTTTATATTTGCAAAACTTAGTGTTGGATTGTAGTGGAGACGTTTCCAAAGACGTCAAATGTGTCTGAATTTTGGAGAAATGTGTGTAAAAAGTATGGAGTCTCTGGTTGTAATATTTTACTCAGTAGACATATTACATTGCTTCAAAAATGAACCAGAACAAGCTGATGTGGATCATACATGTATGAAACAATCAGACATCATGTTCCTCACATTCATGAAGAATATTTACGTGAATTTACGTAAATTTAACGTGCTGTATAAATGTATGTGTTAGACGTCTCTGTAAGTTGTGTACACTCACTCTGGTTCAGTCATGGATTATTCTAATGGCAAATACAACCAACCAATAGAGCAAAGTGATGCTGACATAACACATTTACGAGAATGTTGGTCGGGAGGTATTAATCGTCACAGGAGACTTTCTCATGGTTTACTAGCTGAACTCCCACAAAGCTCTCTGTCTGATATGGATCACACATGAAACAATCAGAGGGTAAACATTCATTATGTGGACGTTGCCTTACATTTATAAAGAATATTTACATCTACAAATTTAAAATGCTGTATACAGTCACCCTTAAATGTATCCGTACCCTCCTGTTAAAGAAGGAAAACGGCGGAAATAAGTTGAAACTGACAAAAGTATTAATAAATAAAAATGTAATGAAAATCATGGCATTGCTTTTGAATTGTGGTGTCAACAGAAATATGTGTGGGGAAAAAAACAACCATGATGGGACCAGTGAACTAATATTTAGTTGAACAACCCTTTGAGCCAATCACTGCAATCAAGTGTTTCCTGTAACAGTCAGACTTCTGCACCTGTTGATCATCAGCAAACTGCTCTAATTTGTCTGCGACAGTTTTGTTTGTTTGTTTGTTTTAATTATTCTTTTCAACCACAATTCAAAAGCAATGTCTGATTTCACTAAATTATAATTTAGCAAATTTTTATTTATCATTACTTTTTCAGTTTCTACTTATTTGAGTGACTATTGTGAATTTTACTCTTTTTTCTTTAATGGAAGGGTCTGAATACATTTGACTGTAAATGTATGTGCTGGACGTCTCTAGAAGTTGTGTGCACTCATGTGTGGCCCGGCGGTCTGGTTTCTCCACAGGCGGGGGCATCGTCCATGTGGGCGTCATGCTGCGGGCTGCTGAACGAGGTGATGGGCACGGGCACGGTGAGGGCGCAGCAGCCGGGGTTTGGAGCGGGGGCGGGGCCCTTCCGCTTCGCCCCCAGCGCTGGGTACTCCACCTACCCCCCCACCAGCTCAGGGAGCGCCGGGCAGCTGTGCAAGGCCTGCGGACTGGCCTTCTCCGTCTTCAGACGCAAGGTAGACACAAATCCTATTCATAATTAACACAGGACTGTATGTTCAGACGTCCTTCCTCGTCGTCTGGCACCAGAGACGAAGGGGGGAAGGTATATCAGTGACATACAGTCAGCTTCTTTTTGTTTTTAGAATTATGTAAGGGTTGCGTGCAGTTGTGAGCAGTGACAGTGCAGCATGGTGCATTAAGGAAACAGGGGCATCCTTAATTACTTCCTGAACAGACACATTTTGAATCCAAAATCATGTGGATCTGGTTCTCCTTAAACTCATATTTCTTGCATTTTAATGTGAACCAGTTCCATATTATACATCCATACAGTATTTTTTAAATCCTTTGAAAACTAATGTGATTTTTGTTCACAATTTTAAAGGCAGAATATTGTTTTTTATTGTTTTTTTTTTATTAGCTTGCTTCTTTTTTTTTGCAGTAAAATGCACCAATGATGAGCTGCACCTGAAGGACAACCTGATATTTATTTATTCATTTATCTAATCTTTATTTCCACATGGTACGTCTCCTCTGCATACATGTTTTTTAAAAAAGCACACATGGCTTTTCTGGCATTTGAGTCCCCACACAGCTCAGCGTATGAGAGTTTAACGGCAGAGTACATCCGTCTGATGAAAACGCTGCAGCGCTCAGCTTCCCCTCTGCTTCAGATTGCTCTTTCTTCATCCTCACACCAGTTGCCTTTCTGACGGGTCGACTCCCATCCGCGTGTCAGCGTGATATTTTCATAGTATGGGAGAAAAGGCCTGCCGGGGGATTAACAACAAATGATTGAAGAAAAGTGTCTGTTACGGTGGAAATGTGCCTCTGGTGGACCAGGAGCACGTTTGTGCACAAGTGATAAGGAAATGTTTACAGCCGTGGCTGACCTGCTTTCCGGCCCATTTGAAGTGTCAATCTACTCAGCTGCTCTGCATCAGGAGACAGTGTTAAGCCTGTAAAATGTCAAACATCACCAGGAGCTACAGATAGCATACTTCGCTTTTCTTTATTCCTTCCTGTGAATGACTGGCCGCTGTTTCAGATGGCTATGTGGGGAAGTGGCTGAAATCTGTATTAATAGGATTATTGGTACAAAGAAAAAAAAAACACATTACTGTTAAATTAACTCTCTCAGCCCCGTTACATGAAGGAGATATAAAGTCCTGCACCTCAATGGAAGCAACACAACTATGACTAGAAGAAGAGAGAACCTAAGAATGTCCTCTGTGGAATATAAAACAGTCACAATGCCATAAAAAATAAAAATGTGAATTTATTTGATTATTTATTGTACAAAAATTGAAAACATTTGGAGTCAACGTGTATAAAATTTGCCCTCAGTGTGTTTCTAATGCCCTAACCCTACAAAATAGGAACATATTACCACTAAAATTTTAATTTGTTTCCTTATGTATGTCCTATCTGTTCTGTGTAAACACAGCCTGCAGTTCAGTCGAAAGTCCCAGAATTTTTGTGACCTAACTGTTGCTAACAGCTGAGTCCTTCCTGACTATGTGGAGTCTTTTACAGGATTCAGTTAGTACACCGTTTATGATGAGCTCATTTTCAAATAAAACACGCAGAATAAAATAATTTTAATTAAATATGACATCTTTGAGCTTAGATTCTGTGGTGTTTTCCGCTGGTCACAGGTAACTAGTTCAAGGATCTTTGAGTCACTGGGGTCATGGGGGACTGGAGCCTATCCTAGGGTGAAGGCAGGGGACACCTGGACAGGTCACCAGTCTATCACAGGGCTACACTTAGAGACAGACAACCAAGAACACTCACATTCACACCTACGGACAATTTAGAATCACCAATTAACCTCAGCATGTTTTTGGATTGTGGGAGGAAGCCGGAGAACCCGGAGAGAACCCACGCTCCACGGGGAGAACATGGAGACTCCACACAGATAGATCCCAGGTGTCCTCATGGGGACGCAAACCGGCGACCTTCTCGCTGCGAGGCAACAGTGCTAACCACCACTGAGCCACCTTGCAGCCCCCAAGTTGAAAATCTGCTTTACTAATTTCCAGCTTTGATAAATGGTGTAATTCTTTTAAAAAGTGAACATGCTTTTTAAACCTGCCGGCGGGTTTCTGTCCGTAGAAACAGCAGCTTCAGCAGCTTTAGTTGTGTTGGCCTATTTTTAAATTTTTTTTTTTTTTAGCGCTCCAATCGCGTGGATCCCTTACAGTAGACGCTTCATTTATTCATCAAAAGTAACACGGAGGGTGAGCAGTTTAATATGCTAACAGAAGTCAGACATCAGGGATCGATTAGGGTTGATGAAAACACTTTCTGAAATGATGTTGTTGGAGGTGGGGGGGAAATAACTTCAAAAACAAGTTTGGTTGCTTCAGTCAGAAGAAAAAGAATCGCTGATCACATCATGTCTTTCAATCTCTGCTCCCCTCCCCTCCAGCACATCTGCTGTGACTGTAAGAAGAGCTTCTGCGCCCTGTGCTCAGTGCTGCAGGAGAACCTGCGCTGCTGCACGACCTGCCACCTCCTGCGCGGCACGGCCTTCCAGCGGCCTCGGCTCATGCAGCTCCGAGTGAAGGACCTGCGCCAGTACCTGCTGCTGCGCAACATCCCCACCGACACATGCAGGGAGAAGGAGGACCTGGTGGACCTGGTGCTCTGCCATCAGGGCACGAGGGAGACCCCGAGAGCGGCGGTGGTGGAGGAGGACGAAGAGGAGGACGAGGAGGAGGAAGAGGAGGAGGAGGAGGAGGAAGAAGAAGGAGAGGACACGCATGAGGAGGAGGAGGAAGAGGAGGAGGAGGAGGAGGAGGAAGATGAAGGGGGAGACGACACCGACAGTCTGCACTCGCTCCCCCACTCACGTGCCGCCTCGCCTCCTTCTGCGACGCGCTCCACCTCTGAACAGTCGGTCCTGTCCGCCTCTCAGGGAGAAGTGCTCAGCCCAAGTGACAGCTCAGGGACCACCAGCCAGGTTTGTGCTGATATTCAGTGTGTGGCTGCATGCAAAGCTGCCATTTCTGCAGACACACACACACACACACACACTCATTCCCAGATTTACATATGCCATACTTCTCTCACATCTGTCCTCATTCCATCCAAGATAATTAATTTCAAAGGTGAAGTTTTTTTCTTTCTTTTTTTTTACAAGCTTCACTTCTTTCCTTCAACTCTCTAACAAACAAACACCCCCTCGTGCACATCAGTTGTTCCATTGTATCTCGTGCTTTGTTCCCTCCTTTGTGCTGTCTTTGTTATGAATGAAGAGCCCCTCTTTTAAAAATCTACTACATTTCCCTGCGTGTTTTCTCCCCTCCATTGATATCAGAGAAGCTCAGCGCTGCACTGCTGCTCCAGTGTTCAGTGCACCATCCCATGTGACAGCTGGAAACAGCTGTGTTGGCTGTGTGTTAGCGCAGAGCCCTCAGACCAGCCAGGCAGCTTAAGCCCTTTGCCTTTTTTAGGTCTGTTACATGGGCTGATTCTGTTATGTAACAGACACACAGGTTGAGAACTCCCCACAGCGTCACAGCTGCAGCCAAACAACACAGACGCGCTACAGTACATCCCTTCTTTCATCCTTTATAGATAATATCCCGCTGTGAGATTTTAGTTTGTGGCACATACATTTTAAATTGTATGTAGTTTCAGACGTTTGTATTGAAAGAAAAAGACTTGATCGTGAAAATCTGTCAAAAGCAGAGCAGCAATCTGACTCGACTTTAAATCTGAAATTTGAATATTATGTGTTACATAAGAATATCCCGCTTACTTAAATCGGCCACAACATTAAAACCACTTGCCAAATACTGTGTAGATCCCCCTTGTGCCGATAAAACAGCTCTGACCTATCGAGGCAGAGATTTGTTGTGGTATCAGGCAGCGGCGGAGGATCTTTTAAGGTCCTGGCAGCTGGAGATGCAGCCGACACATCCCGCAGATGCTCGATCAGATTGAGATCTGGAGGATTTGGAGGTCAAGTCGAGACCTTGGACACTGTGTTCAGGAACAGTTTGACGATCTTTGCAGGCAGAAAGAGGCCGCCGCTCTCAGGGAACATCGTGAAGCGGCGTCTTGTTTAGGTAGATGCTTGTGTGACAGTAACATCCACATGAATGCCAAGACTCACGTTTTCCCCGCAGAGCATTGCCCAGAGCGTCACACTGCCTCTGCCAGCTTCCCACAGCGCATCCTGCTGCCATCTCCTCCCAAAGGTAAACAACGACTGCATGATGGACGAGGAAACGTGACTCATCAGACAGAAGCCACCTTCTTTCATGGCTGACGCTCATAATCTGCGTTTAATCTGACCGATCTGCAGCTACGTGCAGCAAGCTGTGATGCTCTGTGTGTTCTGACGCCTTTCTATCATAGCCGGCGTTCGGGTTTACACACAGCTCTTTTGTGGGGTCGGTTCACACGGTTAAATCCTCGCTCCCAACATGCGTCCGTGAGCCCGAGGCACCGCACAAGACCTGCTGTTCTGAGGATGCTCCGACCCAGTCCTCACAATCTGGCTCTTGTCAAAGTCGCTCAGATCCTCACGCTGCCCGTTTTTCCAGCTTTCAACACGTCAATGTCAAGAACTAAGTCGCTGCCTAATCATGCCACCCACTGACAGCTGCCACCGTAACCAGATAATCAGTGTTATTCACCTGTCAGAGGTTTGAATGTTGATTAGTGCACAGTTTTGGATGCTGCTTTTAACCAGTTTAAGAAACAAAAAAAGGTTGTTGCAAGGCTGTTTTTGTTTCTTTATTTCTGAGATGGTAGGACACATAGATTGAGCACCTAACAAGGGCAAATCTGCTCGAGGTTTAATATTCTAATGCACATGATGATTTACAGGATGAGAAAATCTAATAGTAACGTAATGTATAATCCAGCAGCTTATTTTTTGTGGATATTCTGCAACTTGTCCATAGTTAAAATACGTAAAATGCAGCATCACTATAGCTCACCTGGTTGAGCTGGTGACCCATGTATAGGGGCTATAGTCCACGAAGCAGCAGTCATGAGTTCGAGTCCCGCTCATGACCCTTTGCTACCCAACTCTTCTCCCCCCACTTTCCTGTCTCTCTCTCTGTGTCCTCTCTAAAAAGGCCAAAAAAAAGTCTTTTAAAAAAAAAAATACACAAAACACTGACAGCAGAAGGAAAGGTATGAATCTGAAATTCTGTACGTCCCCCAAAGAGTATCTGTTCCTCAGAAGTGCGCACACAGATTTTAATTACATTCGGCATCCAGTCGGGCGCCGTGACCCACAATTCTGCTGATTTTGATTCAGATGAAACATTTCCGAACGTTTCCTGTCAAAACAAAAATAACAAATTTAGCAGATTGTGCAGCCTGGGCAGATTATGCAAGTGCTTTCTAGTACTTTTATATGGTTGAATGAAATCAAACATCAAGTCAAAGACTCTTTGTGCTCCGGAGAGGTTTGGCACTTAGCGTGAGTCAGGGCTGCTGCTCGTGGTTTTTTTTTTTTTTTTTTTTGGGTCTCTGAGGATTCTCGTCTGAGCAAAAGCACGATGTCTATGCGAGGAAAGGCATCTCGCACCGCGACACTGACTGATGCATTATTAACACGTCTTGGTTGGAGAGAGACGACGGTCTGCTGGAATGTGAGGAAGCACACAGAGAGAGTTTACTTTTTCTGGCACAGAAGCAGAGACGCTGAACTCCATGATATCGGTTATCGCTTTATTTCAGCTCTTCACAAGCTCTCTTTCTTTTTTTTTTTGTCAAGGCAGATAAAAGAATAAAGAGACAATATTGTCTCTTCAAAGCACATAAGTGGCTCAGATAATACAGAGCCGTGCGCTGACACCAAACAGCGCCTCAGCTACTCTGTTGCTCCTTTTGTTCTCCTTTTAATGCAGCACATTCCTGACCTCCACCTTCAAACAGAATGATTAACTGCAGAGCTAAGAGCAGCTGAGTCAGTGTTTAAACATCTCTGTTTGTTCATTAGATATCTGAGCTGCTGCAACCTAAATTAAATCACAGATAGCTGTAGAGCCGTTTTCTTTATCGTGGTATTGACAGTCACATGGAGCTGGAAGAAATTATAAATTATGATCAGGCGCTCTTCATCTTGTGATACTGTCGTTTAACAGATGTTTAAAAAAAAAAAGTCATACCAGGACGGGGATGTGCTTTAATTTGCATTTTTCCTCACTGCTGATTCTGATATAGGAATGAGACAAACAGATATGGGTTAGTTTGGTGTGTGTTTTGCCTGTTCAGCAGCCTTTAATCCGCAGATAGGAGGAAAATCTGTCATTTTCACACGTCCTCATTTTAAAGGTCCCACATTGTGCCCCTTTTCACCAACATAACGTCGTTCTCAGGAAGGTGTCTTTCAATTTTCAGTTCAGTGTTCTTCAAAGATGAGTTGTATTGTCTGTATCATGACTGTGTAGCTGCTGGTTTTACTCTCTAACAGGCTGTTTTAGCATCTGTAGCTTTAAATATAGCTGCTATCCAGGGCAGGTTAGGTTGCACAAAAACACATGAAAACACCAAAGATAGTTCTTGTTTATTGGTTTCAAATCAGTTTCCATCATTTCCATCATTTACAGGTTCCACGTAGCTCAGACCGGTGGGCCATCAAAGCTACCGTAATTTTCAGACTATGAGCGCACCTGAATATAAGCCACACCCACTAGCTTTAAAAAGAAATGTGTACTTATACAGGCTGCACTTGTCTATAAGCCACAGGTGTTGTAACATGAGATATTCACATAGGAAGATGCTATGCAGAAAGATTCTTTTTTTTTTAAACTTTTAATTAAATACGTCCCGGTAACGCACACAAATACGTAAATGCTTTTTTCTGAACAGTACCTGTAACACGGCTGGTTAAAAAAATAAAACATACAGTAGCCTACCAGGAAAAGTCACTGATCGCTATCTTCATCTTCCTCCTGTGCACTAAAACCACTAAAGTTGTCTTCTTCAGTGTCAGAATTGAGCCTCAGAATTACTTCACACTTCCTCAGTCTCTCTTTCGTTGTCGCTCTCGATGTCACTTTCATCTCGAGGCAAATTCGTAAAACTCCATAAATTAGCTGCATCATTGTTTAAGCCTCAGTGTTCAAAGCGTGGGAAAAAAGTAGCAGCTTATAGTCCAGAAATTACGGTAATTCTAAGCCTCATTAGCAACTCGCTAACACAAAGCATTGCCATCAAAAAATAAAAGCAGTCGTAGAATCTTCATATTTTCACAGCTTTTATTTTACACATCCAAGTGTAGAAAACACACAAAACACAATACAAACAGATTTTCACCACGAGGGTCCTTTAATATTCAAACCCATGAGTTTAAACATCATTTTGACGATTTGAATGCTGTTAAATTAACCTCGCCGTGTTGATTTCCACTCACGCAGGAGCATGAGGATACTCCAACAGCGTCCCTCTTGAACCTGGAGCCCACTGAAAACATCATAGAGGTGCGATGCTTGTGTTTTTTTTGTTGTTTTTTTTTCCTCCACCTCTACAAAGCTTGGCAGTCTTTATCCTGTTAGTGGAAACGGATGCGATCCCGCTGCTGATTCAGTGATTACAGCTCCTGTTCCCCTGCGGATTGTAGGTCAGCCCGGCGACTCAGAGGAGGATCAGGGCCTCGCTGTCTGATCTCGACAATGAAGAGGCGATAGAAAACCTCTCCGTCCGCCAGCTCAAAGAGATTCTCGCCAGGAACTTTGTCAATTACTCTGGCTGCTGCGAGAAGTGGGAGCTGCTGGAGCGAGTGCACCGGCTCTACAGAGAGAACGAGCAGAACAGGAAATCCAGTGAGTTGCTCTTCATTTGTTTGCTTTCTGCTTTCTAATTTCACGCGTCCATTTTTACATTTGGCTAAAATGCTTTCTTTTCTCCTTTGCCTTTAGTGGAAAACGTGAGCATAACTGCAGGTAATTTTTCTTTTCATTAACCTTGTTGCTAACACAGCTAGCTCACCCTTATTATATAAAGAGGCATTAGTTTTAGCTGCTTTTTTCCAGTTGTTTTACATTCCTGTTTCCCAAACTAATCGATTTTCTTGTATTACTGCCAATTCTTATCTATAAAGTGGTTGCATATCCTCCACCTCTCTGCAACACTAGCGTTGGAGGTAAGATGTTCTAAAAAGTCACTTCTCCATCTCCTCCATGAACTGATACTCATCGAGAGTAAAGGCATGCCGCAGCCATTCTTACCCGCTTCATCCTTTACGTCGTCCTGTATATCATCATATTATGGTCACTTGGAGTCACTATCGTCCGCCTGGTTCATTGTCTCCACATTGTGTCACTTGTTTCTTCTCCAGAGCTCATCATCTCATTTCATTCTGAAGGACAGCCTCTCATCCCGTCATTAATGCACTCTCTAAGAGCTTTTACCCCTTGATGAGCCATCATATTACTTCGATGGCAGCCTGTCTCCATCAGGTGTAATTACATTGTCGGGCTTCCTTGTTGACATAAAGGGCTCGAGGATCGTATTAGTCCACTTAGCAGTCAGCTGTGCGGGGACAGCGGGCAGGGCTGCAGATGGATTGGCCTTTTCCTGTCACAAGATGTGCGCGGCAGGAGCCAGATTTAGGCTGATCAGGCAGCGATCAGACGTTTAGCTCCTATAAACCAGTGATCTGACATAATTTGCGTTAGTGATTGTAAATGGTTTTGATGTGAGAGGCTGTCCGGCTGCCATCGGACAGACGTCATGTGCTAGCTAAAGCTCTACGCATGTTTCTGCCCCCCAGAGCTGCATCTGGAGGGCTGATTGCTTTTCTTCTCGGCATCGACGATGTGTCTCCAGCTCAAAAACGAAAACCTTGCACCACTGCTTTGCATTTAGTATTGACAGGTTTATGCTTTCTTGGCACTCTGAAACCTCTTTTATTTTCTGTTTTGGGATCTGATTTCAATTTGGCTTGAAAAGTTGGTGCCAAAAGTCATTAATTCTGTTATTTAAGACAAAGGGTTGAATAATTGTGATTAAATATTTTTATTTCTGTATGAAGCAGCAAACGCTGACAGAAACAGATTGATAGTATTTTGTGTTTCAAAGCTCCCACCTCATGTGGACGGCAGGATGTGCAACAAAACACATTAATTAGCAAAGCAGTTTTTGTGCAACATGTGTAGGAAATATTTTATCACGCTATTCTGAACAAAAATATCAATGCAGCATGTAATACTGGATTAAGTTCTACCCATTCTGCAACAGATTTTACGTAATTAATCAACCAAGTTTGCACTATGCTGGAAAGGATGATGGGCAGATGAAGAGTTGGGTCATCGATCAGTAATGAGTCCAACATTTGCATCACGTAGGGCCACACATCTGCAATGTATAGAATTATTTAGGTTGTGACTCTCGTTTGTTCAATGTTGTTCCAGTCTTGCTGAAAGACTTGGTGACGTTGGCGGACGTTTTGGGGGACAGGATCACGTTAACAACCGTCCTACAGATGTTAGATCAGTGATTTATCTGGAAAGTCTGCAGGCCGAGTAGGGCTGCAGCATTATGCGGCTTATTGAGATTGTTGTGATCTCTTATAATTTGGCTTTAAGATTGCCATAGTTGAAATGCAGACATGTTCTTTGTCCATGGAGTATACCTACTGGGATTGACCAAAATGGTTTTCTCAAGGTGTCTCAGTGGTTAGCATCGTTGCCTCGCAGCAAGAAGGTCACCGGTTCACATCCCGGTGAGGACACCCGGGATCTTTCTGCATGGAGTTTGCATGTTCTCCCCGTGCAGTGTGGGTTCTCTCCGGGTTCTCTGGCTTCCTCCCACAAGGTCCAAAAACATGTTGAGGTTAATTGGTGATTCTAAATTGGATGGATGGATGGTTTTCCTAAGACTTAGGTTAATTATTGGTTGCCAGCACTTGGAACCAATAGACATTCAATGGTATATATTAACAGCATATGATAGCAGGAAACCTGTCAGTCATAACTACATAAACAGGGATTACTATAACTGAATGACAGCCGAGCATCATGTGACGCTAAACGCTCTCCTCTGTTTACTGTGGTATCGACTGATTGAGATTGAACACTTTGTCAGTTTCACTTTGTCTGACATTTTCAACGGAAATACTTGGGAAAGATTGCCTAAATTTACCTAAATTTCAGCAACATTGGCTATCTCACCTTTAAAGCACAGCTCAGGTAATTCTGTAACCAATCAAGTAGAGCTGTGGGCGGGACATTGCTTCAGACCACAGAGCGACTGCAGACAGAGGGAGCCACCTGCATCAGAGCCAAAGTAGATTTAATTTATTTTATAGGTAAAGAGTTAATAACAATAACGTTACAGATAATTGGGAAAAAAAATGCATTAATATACACATATAAAGGACCGTCGTCCATCCTGCTGGTGTCCAATAAACATGAGCTGGTTGCCCACTGGAGCCGATTTGCTGTTAGATCACGGCCTTCATGTGGGAGATCACGAACCAGCTTCCCCTCAGACGATTCCTCACAGTTTGAGCAGACCACACCAACAACTTCATCAGCACCTCTGCAGTTGATCACAAACAATTCCGCAGATGGATGAGCTGGATGTGACTATCCCGGGTCGGGGTGGTGACACATGGTCTGCGGTCATGTGGCAGTTTTTTCTGTTGTCCCATGCTGTCTGAAACGATTCCTCTGATGACAAATGATGGAGGTGTGGGCATTAGAGTTCCTGGCCACGGACCTAGCTGACAGTCCAGCATCCAGCGTGTCAACGGCCGGGTCTCGTCTTTCTCTTGTTGTCTGTCGCATTGCGTTATTTGGAAAAAGCTGCATTTTAAGGAGATTCTTGTAGATTGATCGTAACAACTGGACTTGCTTGAGTTCCTTGAAGATGTTTCGCTTCTCATCCAAGTGGCTTCATCAGTTCTGACCGACTAGTTGGGAGTTCCAGATACTTACATCCTTAAGCAGTCATTAACACCTGAGTTTCGGTTTCAATTGGAGGTTTGTTGCTCCTCCCCCTCGTTATGCGTGTCGTTATCCTCCCCCTGACACAATGGAGTTCGTTAGGGTCTTTTGTAGCTAGGTGTGAATGTGGTTTCATCTTCCTGGGGAGAGTTCTTAGAATTCACCGGAATCCTTAACGAACTCCATTGTGTCAGGGGGAGGATAACGACTCGCATAACGAGGGGGAGGAGCAACAAACCCCCAATTGAAACCGAAACTCAGGTGTTAATGGCTCCTTAAGGATATTAGCATCTGGAACTCCCAACTAGTCAGTCAGAACTGATGAAACCTCTTGGATGAGAGGTGGAACGTCTTCAAGGAACTCAAGCAAGTCCAGTTGCTACCATGACCTGGATGACTGAGAATCTTCACAGACATTTTCAGGAGATGCTTTCTAGTCACTGGTCAAAGGAGTGTCTGTTCTGGTCAAGCTATCTGATCATTCAAAGCCACAACTAAATACAGAGTGGAATAACTCAATAGCTCTTCCCAATTTAAGTTTCAAACTTTTCCTGCACAACTGGCTAATTTAAGCCCTTTCAACCATTTTCTAACAAAGTCTTCAGAACAGAAGACCATTTGCATGCTGCATTTACGTCTTTGTTCAGTGTAAATAACATTAAAAACACAGATACAGATAGAAGCGAGGACCAAACAGTGGTCATGGTGCTTGTGTTCACTGTTCTCAGACTTAAGAAGTTCACCTACACATCATCACCCATCTCCTACACGTTATAATGAACCCGCAGAGAACGACTGTCAACTGAAAACATTTCTCATGTTTCCCTGCACAGATGGCGTCAAAGCTCAGCTGGCGGCCGACGAGAACCTGTGTCGCATCTGCATGGACGCCATCATTGACTGCGTGTTGCTGGAATGTGGCCACATGGTGACCTGTACCAAATGTGGGAAGAGGATGAGCGAGTGCCCCATCTGCAGGCAGTACGTAGTACGGGCCGTGCATGTCTTCAAGTCTTAAAAACTTTGTGTGTGCGTGTGTCAAGAGCGGCCCTCAGGCGTGCGCGTGGCCCGAGCCCTGAATTTATCACTGAGGATGAACTGCTGTGCATGACGTCTCCCAGGGTCTAATGCTGCAGCAGGCGTGAGCAACTTCCCGGTCTTTCAAACCAGACTGTTGCCTCTGGCCTACCACGGTTTGCCCCCCCCCACCTTACTAACTCATATCCCACTTCTCCTCCCTGGTGGACCGTCATCAGCCACACCGGGACACTCACTCTTTCTCTCTTTGGTCTGTTCAACACACAGCGGAAACCCCTGCCATCACTTTCTACTCTCCGTTCTGTTTAGGTTCTACTCACAGGAGAGAACTCGGAGGGGTTGGTCGTGTGGATACTTGAAGCTGGATCGGCTTTGTTGTTGTTTGTGAAGAAGAGGAAGAAAGAAAATTTAAAAAATATATAAGATTCCAGGGTTAGAGTCGATATGGTTTACACAGTCATGCCACATGACGCCGTGTTATTTCCCTCAGTGTTCTTTAGGATGTGCAATATCAGAAAAAAAACAGATGTGTTTAAGAAACGCCGGAACATGCACCGAGTCATCTCGTCTCGCACACGGTAGGAGTGTGTAGGGTGCCAAAAATCATGCCTTCAGTGGATATTTGGTTACAGCATCTCATTTACCAGCAAGCTTGGTGTGACAGTTTACTCTCTTTTTTTTTCTTGAATAAACTTAAGGAGATCAAGTGTGTACATGTAACCCATTTAACACTTACTGACTGTGTGAAGGATGCGATTGTTTGTCCATTTTCTCATCTGAAATGTCAGCTGCTTGTGTGCAGATCCTGCTGCGTGAAAGTTTGTTCTGACACAAAAACACCTGAACTCAAGGCCCACTTTCAAGCATTTTTTCCGGAGCTTTCAAACACATTTTAGATAGTTGGAAACATTAAAACCTCCTGCCTGATGTCAGTTTACCTACCAAAACAGACCTGACCCGCTGGAAGAAACTCCACAAGACTTATGAAGGTTTTCCTGAGCAGATCTTTTCATTACTGGAAGTTAAGGTGGAGCTTCTATGGATTTTCCAGCACATCCCAAAAATGCTCAATTTGAGAAAAGTTGGAGGTCAAGTCAACACCTTGGGCTCTTTGTCACGTTCCTCAAACCATTCCTGAATGTTTTTTACAGTGTAGCACGGTGCAATAGAAAGAAACCACTGCCATCGGGGGTGTTTATGGTCTGGTACACTGTTTAGGTAGGTGTCAAAGTAAAATCCACAGTTTCCCTCTCATCACGCTGCCCTTGCCTTCTTCCCATAGTGCATCTTATAGTCATCTTAAACAATACACTCACTTGACCGTCAACGCGACGGGAAAGAAAACATGATTCATCAGACCAGGCCACTTTTTTTTTTCCAGTCTGACGCAGCTCCAAACGTAGCACGCTGCGACGCACTGTGTGTTCTGGCACCTTTCTGTCTGCAGCATTAAGGTTTTCAGCTGTTTGTGCATCTTCTCTGTGAAGTTGGAGCAGCCTTTCCTCTCCACCAGGGCTGAACGATATGCAAGAAATAACATATTGCTATTGTGGTATGAGTCATGATTTTAGTGGAGATTTTTTAATTTCCTTTTGTTGGAAAAGAAAATAGAAAATGTATGTGGTTTTTGTTGCAGCCTGTTCCAAACAAGCATGTTGCATGTCTGTAGCACCACGATCCTTTATTTGTAGTGGTACCTTTATCAAAAAACTGCAGACATTGGCCACGTGAATCATATTTCCAATCATTGTTCAGCCACACATGTTACTGTGAGCTCGGAGCATCCTACATGACCTGCCATTTTGGAGATGCTCTGACCCAGTTGGTATAAATCACTCATATCCTCATGTATGTCCATCTTTCTGCTTTCATCAACTTGACTGCTCACCTTCTCCCTTATATATATCCCACCACTTGACAGGTTCCATTAAAGAGAAAATCAATATTATTCCCATCAATAATCAGTGGTTTTAATGTTGTGGCTCGTCCGCCTCATCCTTCCAGGAAGAAGATAATCGAGCTTCGGTAAAAGCTGATAAGTGGACCTTGAGTTTGGATGCTATTTTATTTATACTTCAAAGACTCATCCCTCTTTAATTTTGAATAACTTCCACCAAGCAATACCATTGGATTACCAAGTCTTACCATGTGTTCGATTGTGTCGTCCTTCTATGTCAGATCTTAGGTAGGTAACAGGTGCTACTTTCTCTCGTTTTGAGTGTAACATCTACATCCCTTTTTTGTCACTTTGTCGAGGCGTCCTTCCAAATATCCATCACACAGTGACAAGCAGAGGAAGCCGGATTTTACTTTAACCTGTTATGCAAATGACACACTTTCTTCTTGTCACGAGATCCAGTTAACTCAGATGTCACTAAAATATCTGTGTGTACAGTATGCCTGTGGTATGTTTAACAAAAAAAAAGAAAAGAAAAAATCGCTACTGAATCGCTGTTAAGTGAATCGCATAGATAGCTTCTATTGTTGTTTACTGATAAGTTATTAAATGTATATTTTTCCATTTACTTGGGAGACATGATTTAAAAATTCTAATCAGTACGGAGGTTTAAAAATAAAAAAAAACATATATACCGTTTTTTCAGAATGTATTTCTGCTGGTTTTGGTCAGATGAGTTCCATCATGTCCCTCTCTCACCATTAAAGTTGCGTCAGAGTCTCTCTTTTTTTGCTTTCTAGCACCTTCTTGTTGTCGTCGTCTGATTCGACACTCGCACCATGCCACTGTAACCGACACTGTAACTCTGTAAGTCCGTTTGTTGATGCTGCTGTTTCTCTTAAGATGTCATTCATGGGCAGCTACAGTATTTATCAGAGTGAGAGGGCATCATGAGCACTCATAATCCTGGATCTTTATATTTTGAATGTTGAACCTTTTTATTTTGGTAAACAAGAGAAAATGATTTATTAGATTCAATAAAATGCAGTACTACAAACCAGAAAGTAAAACCCTGCTCGTTATTTTGTAATATGATTTTAGTTGTAGCTGGAATGTGGAAAATTTTCACTTGTAAAAAACCAAAACAAAAACAAATGACATCATAATTAGGGTC